CCGGTTTCATGGTTGAATTTTTCAACAGCTGATGAGTTTATTTGTGGTAGTATTAAGTCTCTTTCATGTTCTACTACAGCTACAACTAGGCTAAAGGAATATAAATGAACTTTAAGTCTATAACAAATAAACTCTTCAGCATTCATGACCACAATCATGAGACCAAAGAAAAATCCTAGAATTTATGGAAACCTTCAATCAAAAACAATAGACAACCAAACATTCTTAACCGAGACTCACTTCTTGATGTTTCGCCAAATGTTGAGACAATGTTGATATCCCTCCTTTAGCTTCGTCCTCTCAAATAGTATATAAGCGGGTATTTAGTAAAAAGCGAGCCAGATTCAGTTAAGCTCTGGAGGAGCCAGCAGGATGATTGACGAAATGTCAGCAAGTTTGATTTATCAAGTGCCGACGCAGGAGAAATCCATCAAAATTGTAAGCAGTATTACAGTAGCCTGTGAAAGCTTATTCGAAATATTAATCGGAATTTGTCACACAAAAATAGTAAAGTGAGGCAAAAAAGGTTGAGGTATTTATAAAATTCGAATAATATAAGAAACAGGTTAAAATCAAACAACCAAATTTTTTAAGTATATTATCTTCAAGACGCAGGGGCATGTTTATCAAAACAATAGTTTTTATTATTATTTACGAAGAAGCCTTCATTAAAGCGGAAAAGCATTTGGGGTTCTTTTTTCTTGCCTCTATTCTTTAATTATTTTAGTTATTTTATATAACGGACAGGAAATAGAAGCGAACAATTCGAGTGCAAGGAGTGTTTAGGAACAACAACGAGCAAATAATTAATTTAAAACTATTTCTCACTCTCCACCGCCAGGGTTGCTGAAACAATTTTCGCATAGGTCGTGTTATCTACGTCTCACTGTTTTGCGTGCTTGAACGTTGGATAAGGTTTTGTAGATACTGTTTAATTTTGGTAAAATATAATTATTTGAGCAAAAATTATTCGACCTGCTTATTCTTTATAATTCCTTTAATAAGAATTAGTAATAATTGAAGCAAAGAAAGAAAGAGTTATGTTAATCATTGAAGTAAGTTTTACAAAATAACAAATGGTACATGCACATGAAATAAATATTGAAATTATTCAATTTGACACATAATAAATTTCAAGTTATAATGCAGGTATTGTTGCTTAAGCAGCTCTAGCAATTCATCAGCTCTAAACAATAGATTCTCTAACAAAAGTTGCTTGATTGCCGTGCGCTAACAATTGGATATTATTTGGAAGGACATTAAAAATATTAACATTCTTCTGAGAATACGTAAGCCTGGAAAAGTGGAGAGCGATTGCTCCTGACCTCCGAGTATTATAGACAAACATATTCATGTAAATTTTTGTAAACAGAAGGAAGCGTCATTATGTCTAGCATCAAAAACGGAGGTCGGCAATGGGAAAAGATTTCCTCAAGACTTAGCGCCCGAATCGAAAAGCTTTCTCTGAATACACCACACCACAATGTGGTTTTTAGCATTAATGGTATCACTAAATGACCGAGCCACCTTAACAACAAACGAGAAAACCAAATGGGGTTATATTTTACTGATCGAACGTTATCTTGTTGCATGATAGGATTAATTATTTAGTTTTTTTTTTGTTTAAAACCAGGTTACTAGAAGAAAACAATTTGTGTCTAAAATTGTGGTTACGTCAACTTTATCCGCTAGCATTTTTCTCTATTTAGCTGAGGTTAGGATGGTCGAGTCATCTGCGAATAATGTCACTTAGGTATCCGTATCGACAAAGAAATGAGAAGATCGGAGGCTCTGCACCGTCGCCGATGGAGCGCTAGAAACCTTTTTTCTCACGAAATCCAAATTGTTAGTTGGTAAAAAAGTAATGAATCTCAAACTAATGATAATAATAATAGCAATTTTGACATTTGCACATAACTTCTGTCATTGATATTTATTATTTATTACTATTTTTAGAGATTGCGTACTGGAATGCGTCACTGAAGTTATCTTTGGAAATATATTGACTGTTGTGTTGGTAGTTTGTTCTATCTCTGATGAGATTATTTAAATCAAACCAAGGCATTTATTTTATGTGCTTAAAAAATTTACTTTTGTTTACCTCTGCCTCTTAAAAAACTTAACAAATTTTAAAACAATAACATAAACATAAAATAGTAATGACATGACCTGACGCTATTTAAAAATTGAGATAACTTGAGATTATTTTGCAAATGTTTTGATTGGGGGGTAAAGTAATTAATACACCTTATTAATACCTATTCTGAATTGTACTTACGGTTTTGGTTGCTGCATTTCCCATTATGTAGCAGCAGTTACTTAATCCTTTTTGTAAATAATTTATCAATTCCTGTGTAGTGTAGACACCCTCTAGCCTGCCATCTGGTTACATGACGAAAAACTTATTCTATCTGTAGTTGGATTATCCTATATAGCTATAAGATAATATAGTGGCCCCGCTACGGTAAAAATTGATGATCCGCAGGCTATGATTTTTTCGTAGAGAAGTTGTGGATCTTTTGCGCATGCGTGGCCTCCCCTACTGACTGAGTTCCTACAATGCCGTAATTTTTTTGAAAAATTGATTAATTTTTATAAGACCTCAACATCAATCTTTGAAATCGGAAAATAATTGGCAACGCCGAGCTAAGTAATTAATATTATTGCAGAATAGTCTGTGCCCAGTACCATTGTTCGTTTCATTTTTGGTATCAATATCAAGTCTGTTTATAAGATACGAATTAAGGAAAGACCCAGGCAAGCTGTAAGAATGAAATATGGCAAAACAGGTCCGTACTTTGCTTAGAATTTAATTATTTGGGGTTTTGTTAGGAAAGATACTAAACAATACTTATTTATTTATGAATGTATTTATGTTTAAATCTAAAATAAAATTACAAATTATTTTTATTACCTACTTAAATTACTTAAAATTATTCACATAATTTATCAGTATCACTATAGCTATCATTGCCTGTTCTAATTATTATTTGTTCTATATTATTTGCTATATGGATATACAATTGTTCTGCTTTTTCAATATGTTTAACAGAATTTGCTCAACTTTGTGGAGGGATGTTAAAAACTTCGATTTCTATAAGTTTGAGGACATTGGAGGTAACACGGGGAAAAACATTGTTACGACGAATGGCAGATTTCAGTTCTTGCCAAACATGTTCAATGGGATTAAATATACAGTGGTAAGGTCGAAGCCTTGATACTAAGTAGTATACCACACCAAAGAATTTTAAACACAGGTAGGTATAAAATTATTTTCTATTACGGACCACAATTTTACCTGAATTTAAATTCCGAAACTTTAGGTCATAATCTTATTGCAGTTTTCAAAATAAGTCACTTATTTAAAAATCTCGTTACGGTTTTTATCATTTAAAATTTACTTTTTGGAGAGGGAACGATTATTTGATGTGATCGTTAATGATTGGCAACGTTAATTAAGGCAATAGCGTTTCTGAGAGAATGCGTGTAGGGTATCTAGCGTATCGAATTACGAAGCTCTTTTAGATTAGATGGAAGCCGACGTTGCCATTATTTTTGTCTATAGATCCCTGTCCGGAACGCTTTTTCTGATAAAGCGCTGCAGGCCTTTGGTCCCTTCTACAGCAGACAGGGAGTGGCGGCATTTCCTACGTGCCTTAAAACCAGCAGACACAGACATTATAAGTTGATAAGAATTTTAATTAAAATGACTTTATTATATGCGAGCGATGACAATAGGGAACTTGAACAGTTTTTAATACATTACTTACATACAAATGTCAAAACTCAAAATTTAAGTCGCAATACACATTATGTTCAGCTGACGCTTTAGTCTTAATTGTGCAAACATTTTTAACTCTTTGGACTTGCACCCATCCTATTGCAGCCTCCATGGCTTCCTGATCTGTATAAAACGCTTTAAGTTATCAATCGCAATATACTTTAAAATCAGTATTTAAGTTTCCACTAGTTTAAAAAAAATCCTTTTTGTTTTTTTATATTGGCTTGAAACTAGTGGCTAAATTTTCTATAAACACAACTTTTAGCTTTAACACCGAGAACCTCAGCAAAAGAAAAACTTTCAGTATTTCGTATGTAAGATGTCGCCATACACGTATCCACTGAAGGTAAACTATCAGATTGAGCTTTTAAAAATCGGCTTTGTCATTTTCAAAACTTTCTTTTTGATACTAACAAAAGATAACAAAAGCAATCGACAGAATCGAGACTAAAATTAAAATTAAAACCACCAAGACGCACGCGTTGTCGTCCTCTAATTGCTTCTCTATGCTACAGTACGGCCGGCGCGTAGTCTTACAAGCGGATTGACGTCACAATTTGTCACAGTCAATCAGCGTTTCGAAGTGGATTTAATTATACAATTTTTAAGTGCTTATATTTGTTACATAGAACTGCGAAATTATTTGTTTTTGAACTGTGGTTCTTTTAATAATATAAACTTATTTATATTTTTCAATTTGAAATTTTGTTTCAGTTCCTTATTATTCCTTCGTTTTGTTATTCCATTTTAGAGTTTGATCTTCTGCAATCTGGATCCGATCCGATGGCAGTTAAATTGTTTATTTACCTTCTTCTTCGCATAACAATAGTTAGTAACGTCATTTGCAAAATCCTTCGTATGTTTCATTTTTGTGATTTTTGGTTTGCTTTACTTTATTTTACTTTTTATTTAATGCGGGTACTAGATGTCACGATGTTTACGCACGCAACATCAAAAATTATTTGAAAATTAAATAATTTTTATTATTGAGTTCATTTGATAATGAAGCAAAAACTCATCAAAATTTAGCTCATTTTTCATAATTTATGATTTTATTAACCCTAACCTTTTTCGCTCGTCAGTTAAACAACCTAATTTTCGCCAAATAAAAATAGTTCCTAATCGTAAAATCACCCTTTTCATTTCGCAAAATGGGGGAATGAAAACCTATAAATAGGCATTGAATTGGGAACACAGCCGTAGTGTTGACTTACAGTCGTATCGCCTAGGGCGTTCGGGACACATTTGCAGCGTTGTAAGTTAAAGCACGCGAAAAGCTAAGCCGGAGATATATCGAAAAGTTTTACCAAACCGCTCAATCGATTATAGTGTTTAATGCGCTTTTGAACAGCTGACGATCAATAAACGCTGACGCTTTCTGCCACTATGAAGGAAAAGGTAATAAACTAACGTTTATCTATACTCTCGAAAATGGCAAACAAAAATATTTTTCAATTCGCCACTTTTAGTAGTTGTTTATAAAACACTAGCTTTTGTGGACATTTCAACCAACAAATTTTTTCGTATTTTGCTTTAAATTAAAATATATGAAAAGTAGAAAACTAATTGGGGGTAATTTTTTTATTTCTTCGCCATTTTTTTTACTATTGGATTATTTAAACCCAAAACTCATTATAAGGACTGTTTTTAATTGATTTTTAATATGAAGATGATAATTACAATGTCCTATTTTCTCTTAAGGAGTGCAAAACGTGTGAAAGTGATCCTTACCTAATAAAATAGAAAAAATTAATCAAAACTAAGAGCCATATCAAAATTTAATCCACAATGTACTAATTATTTCTTTATTATAGTTCATCGTTCGATCAAAGATCGCTGGAAATAATAATACACACACTTTTTTTTGCATACCTTTTCATTCGTAGATTTTTTGTCAGAAAATAATTTGTATTAATTATTATATTATGTAATTTTTTATTAACGTAATATAACGGACACAAAATCTGGATTTGCTTTGCGGTAGGTAACAACCTCATAGCAACTGTCAAAAAATTAGACTAAACTACGTTATTCGTATTTAGCAAAACGCATGCTACTAACTGAATGCTTTATTTGCAATATTTTTTTATTACCAAGTTAGATGTTTACGTCTTTTTCTTTCCTTATTTCTAACGACAACGACTGCTAAAGATCATTCGGGCAGCTTATTCCTGGGTACCAGCGTGACTACTAGAATTTCAGAAACTGATAAATGTACGATACAGATCGATAGACATCCCCATAAAATAAAGAGCAATTCAGAAAACTTATAGGCTCTATGTCTTTAACAGTTCAATTAATTCAATTAAATTTGTAGTCGAGTGATATATTTTTCAAAAGATTTCTAAATTTATTACAAACGGACAGGAACAAACTTCCGGTATGTGTAATGGTTCCTTCAATCCAGATTTTTAGGTCTCTTGTCCTTCTTGAACCAAATGAGAACGGTTTAATGCGCATTTTGAGGCAAATCGGTTTTACCTTAAAACGTATTAAGTGCGAAATGGGTTGTACAGGGTTGGCCAAATACTTTTAAAGAAAAAAATCACCTTTTTAAATGTGATAGACGAAAAATGTGCATTTAAAAAAATCCTTCTAATTTTTCTGTTATAGTAAGTTTTGTGTTTCTATGAAAAGATTTACATTTTTTTACTAATATTTTATGTGGTCAACTAAAAAAACGCTTTTTATATCGGACACCATGAATATTTTTGGGTCATTGCAAAGCACTTTGTCGTTTTTGACGTTTCTTTTACAAACTGCTTCTATAATTACTATATATAGGTTATGTCCCAATCTTCCGAATATTTTTTAAGAGGTTTTTTTACTTTTAGGATATTCGCAGTGGTACAAATTGCGTGGAGTCTTTCCATAAAATACAATTTAATACCCCATTTTTAAAAGATTAAATGAAAACTGGACTTACCAACCCATTTTATACAAATAATTATTTGTAAAACTATTGAAAATCATTTTTTTCGTTGATAAATAATAAACTGTTACTTTTAAAAAAAATAATATTAATACCATTAGATTCTGCATAAAAAGTTGCTTTGTTCAGATTTTTTCGTAGAAACACAAAATTTTAAAAAAACAAAAACATATGCATCTTTTAAATTTCATAACACGAGTTCAAGTATTCTAGGTTTATTTTAAATCAACTGATGAGGTTGTTTTACACCAAATAGAGCCAAAAATGTTCATAAAAACTTTAAATAAATTAACAAGTCGAATCTTTATTAAGTCAGAAGGTGAACAAAAAGGTTTGGCTAGTACTGAAGACAATTCCTGGAAATTTTGGTTACATATTTTTTCTCGCAAAAAATAATGACAGTAAAAGAAATGTGTATAAAATATGCTTTCTCGCTTTGCCGTTTATCACTGTACCTACTTCTTAATTTTTCAAAAGTTGCTGGATATGTGAATGTCAAAGAAGGAGTGACAGATTCGTTTGGCAGTACTTCATCACTTGAGCTTAATAGTTTTCATTTTGGTCTATTTGCAGTCTCAATATCTGATATTTTGGTACTAACGTCTGAGTTGTCTTCACATTTTTTAATTAAATTCAAATTAAAACTTAATTTTTTTACCTTATATTATGGTATATTAAATATGAATAAAATTTCTAAACAAAAAACATACTTTTTATTACTATTTAAGATGATGATTTTACACGTTCCTACTACATATTTGAAAAATACCAAATATGTATAAACAAAATAACAGTTATACATACCACATTCAAACAAATATGGTTTTATACCAGAAATTAATGGAGGTTGATCTATGTAGTGTTCATAATATAGTGCAACTATAAATAAAGAAATGAACTAAGTTAAAATATATTCACCTAATTGGGGTTATATATAACCAGAACCTTTTTATTGTAATTATATATATTATAACATTGCTTTCAAAGAATTCTAGAGCAGCCATTTTGTTAGAAGTAAAACAACAATTCAACATCCAATAATTCTTATACTTACACAATATCTACTTTTGTTTTTAACGTCTTACACAAACATGCCTATACAATAGCCATAACCACCACTCTATATAATATATATAATATATAATAATAGTAAATTGCAATAGCCAAAAGTGAAGTGCAACGATTGCTTCCCTCCTATAAATTAGAGCTCGACCGTCCACTGTCGGAAGCACAAACACTAAGGTTAATCAGTTATATCGAGCGACGAATTTAGAAGCAGGGCTGCCGTTTACTAACCACTAGTAAAGGAAGTTTAATGTTGACTTCAGAAAAGGTTCTTCAACTGAGTTGGATGGATTTGTTATTTTTCAAAGGGTATATTTTTATTTTACCTTTGCAATGCGCGTCAATTTGGCAACACTGCTATTGACACAATATCTGATTTTGACGAATCCTGAGAGATTTATAGTGATGTGAGAAATTTGAATAAATAAAATTTTAAATTAGACTGGCGGGTCATCAAGAATAAATTCTTTGGAATATAATAAAAATGTATATTATTAAAATTAATAATATTTTTTTTCAAAGAAACTTCCACAGGCTACTGCAATACTTTTAATAAAACTTCTGGATTCCTCCTGAGTCGGTTTTTGCTGAGTCGAACTTGCTGACGTTTCGCCAATCATCCGGTGGGCTCCTTCAGAGCTTGACTGAAACTGGCTCTCATTTTACACTGTACCGGTTTATATATTGTTTGAGGGGGCGGAGCTAAATAAGGAGCCTAAACACATCAGATGACTTATTCCCATATCGGTGACAGGTAGAGACCCAAGTCGCGGTTAAGATTATTAGGTTGTTTATAGATTTCTATAGACTCTCGGATTTTTTGTTTATAGAAGATGCAAGAATTTTAGTTTTATCGAATAAAATTTTATGCCCGCTTTCATGATTATGTTCGGCACCAGCTGATGAGTTTATTGGCCGTAAGGCTCTTTCGTGTTCTGAACCCAGAATTAAAATACCATACCTCTGCTCTTCCCTCCAATAATTTTCACATTAACGATATTAAGCGTTGTATCAAAAAATACACTTTAGCACAACCTTCCAATAGCAATTAGGCCGAAAGCAATCCTACACTTGCCACTGTGGTTCTTCCTTATATTCCAAATATCACTGACCACATATCAAAAGTTCTAAAGAAGTATAAAGTCAAAACCAGATTTACCACTTGTCCAGAAATCTCTCAACATCTTCGGTCCGTCAAAGACAAAATTCCATTTGAGATGCCACGAGTTTACAGTTTACAAAATATCAACTGGGCTCAAAGAACACGAAAGAGCCTTACGACTAAGACCAATAAACTCATCAGGTGGTGCCGAACATAATCATGAAAGCGGGCATAAAATTTTATTCGATAAAACTAAAATTCTTGCATCTTCTATAAACAAAAAATCCGAGAGTCTATAGAAATCTATAAACAACCTAACAATCTTAACCGCGACTCGGGTCTCTACCTGTACCAATATGGAAACCAGTCATCCGAAACGTTACTTAGCTCGTCTACGTCTACGTCTACGTCCAACATCGGAGATGGAAGGACCTCTGAAGAAGCTCGCCACTCGTGCTAGCGAAATGTTAGGAAGTAATTTCAATCGACGACGGCCTTTAAACCCGAATGAAGATAATAGTTACTTAGCTCCCCAATATATAAGCAGTGCAGAGTAAAATGCGAACCAGTTTTAGTCAAGTTCTGAAGAAGCCAACAGGATGATTGGCGAGAAGTCAGCAAGTTCGACTCAGCAAAAACCGGCAAAGGAGGATTCCAGAAGACGTCTTTTGTAAGTTAATTTGACCACTGTCCGGAAGCGACCACTTATGACTCGAAAATGACGTCACTTTGACGAGCCTCTGATACCTGGGATCCTGTAACTCTTGAACGGTACTAGATACCCATGTGCGTGTGTTTCATTAATGTTTAATAAAAATCGAGAATCAGACACCAACATTAATTTTCGTCCATCAGCTCTAGAAAGATGAGGTTTGCTTTAAAAATGTTTTTTTCGAACTGTATACGAACAACTTTTAGCACAATTTACTACAACAGAAGTTGTCACAAATTATCGCCGCTAAACGTCGAAAATATAAAACAATACGTCGTCCGTTTTTGTTGGTCGTGCCTCATTATGACCAGGCATTTTCCATACGGACCTAAGTGATCACTTGGACCGTAACATAATATATTATCATTTTAACTTGACGCGTTTTTAGTAAAAAAATACAAAGCCTTATGGTTTACAATAATTTTACTACCGGACTAATGTGGTTTTGTTGTTCCAGTATCCGGCGCAACAGTATAATGGTGATCCACCCTAAAGAGATGTGCTCTGAAATCACAGCATGCTTCGCATCCCTATTAGCGAATTATGAAACAATGCTCGGGGAACGTAGGGAAGTTGAAAACTGCCGCTAAACAAAGCCATTATTTCGATAATGTTCCGGCAAGGACGCGCCGAAATTGCCCCGACACGAGTGTGACTTGAATGCGTGTCGTTCTTGGCTAATTGGTAACGGTAATTGGCAGAGGTCGTGGCTGTGATCATGTCTGGACATGTATCGAAGGACCAACGGATAAAGCGATAACGTTTTGATGAACAGGTTGCAACTAGTGTTTACGTGCGGGTTAATCCGTTGCTTGAAAATAATGCCGTTCGGTTTGGACCGCATAGTTTTTTGGTCAGTGCTCACGTCGGTTATCTTCGTTTGGTGTGGTAACGCAACACGTCGTTTGAAAAGTAAGTATACCCGCCATTGTTGTAGGAATATCTGGAATAGTCATTTCCAACCACCTACTCGAAAGTTGTCCTGTCCCTAAAAAGAGACGTTAAGGTTAAGGTATTATTCTCAGTTTTTGGGAAAGTTAAAAGTTATAGAGAAAAACATGTATCTATTCAGGCTGATCTAAATTAAGTGTTCATCATTGGTAACGTTGTTATGAGTCTTTAAAATACCTAATTACAATCCGAGTCTATAGACTCTAGGATTTTAATAGGTCCATTCGTAACAGTCCAATTATTATTGTTGAGAATAGCTGTTCAAAAATTAATATGTGAATCAGAAATTATGAGATGGTGCGCTATCTTGTTAGAAATGCAGATTCTGCATTTTTTCTGCGCCTCTATCAAATCTGTAGAAATAATGAGACCGTTTTTGCTAAAGAAAAAGCCAAAAAATGTTATAATAAATGATGTGGAAATTCTTGTTAATATTATTATTTCTTACGTTCAAACAAAAGAGAATAGTTTTATTTCGCCATAGTCATCTAGTTTAAAAGAGAAATGTGTTGATAATTCGGTTATTTTCATTTGATTTTTTTTGTTCTGTTATTGAAAAGAGTACATTTTCTTCATTTTATCCTCAACTGTTTTTGTTAGCAATGATGAACACTTAATTAAGATCAGCTGGTATAGTCTGGACCAACTAACCTTTTAATCATCTTAGCGTTCCCCAAAATTACCAATATTCTAAAGCTAATTCGATTGAGAATTATTATTTTAAATTAAATTCCGACAGAACTCAAGGGATTGTGTTTTCCATTTAATCGCATGGAAAACATTGGACAATCCATTAGGTTGTTTGTTATTCGAATTGTGGATAACCTAAATTAAAAATGGCATATCTCTGACCTGAAAAATAAGTTAACTGGTAATATTTTCGATCTGTGTCGCCAATAGCTAGTGAAAAGTATTTTTATGAACGAAAGGGAACTTTAACGCTAATTCTGTTTGTCACTTATTAAACCGGAGATCTCTTTGAAAAGGGCCTGGGTTTAAATTTTGTCACTTTTTCTATATGTACTTATTATATGTTTTATGACTACAATTGTACATTTTTGTTTGAAAAATAAAACAATAAAAAAAATGGTCCCAGAAATCTCTTAAAATCGCAAAGGAATTCCAAAAATTTAAATCTATCGTCACCGCTTAATACGGATCTGTTTTATAAAGCAGATATGGAAGTATGAAGTATGGAAAACGTATAGTTTGCATATTGAGTACAAGATTTACCATAAAAAACGTGTAAGTCTAGTTGGCCCAAACTAAATGAAACTTGCAACCAGTTTGAATTTAAAAAGGATGATTTCGCTACAGATACTGGCATATTCGGCGGTTTTCGTATCTTCAACAAAGTTTACTCGATTCTCCAACAACGTTAACTTCTATATGCAGACGTTATTCTCTAGCAACATGTCAGTGACGTAGGGTGTTATACTGATCCACCGGCGCACGTCGAATAAAATGTCGAATAAAATATCTGTCCAACCAATCATATTTCTTTTACGAAGGGTTAAACATATGCTGCCATGTTTTGGAAAAAATCAAAACCTCTAGGGACAGATCACTGTTGACATCTATTTTGTTTTAAATAATCACACAAGAAATAACTGCACTCACGAAAAGTTGAGGTTGTAATTTTGAATTTCGATTTATTAGACCATGTTTTTTTCAGTGCGAGAATATTGTGACGTAAATCATCTCTTTACTCACTCTCTGCTTTCCTTCTTATTACTTGAGTTCGGATTTTTATGCACAGAAAATGTCTGGTTTTTCCAAAAAATATGTCAAATATATGCTTAACCTTAACCTATATTAAAGCATTATGGTAAAAACTATTTAGTTTTACAATCAGACCTATTATTATTATTGTACCATTTGACAATTAAATGCTGTTCTATATTTTCTATGGTTAATTTTTTTCTTTTATCACTTAATATGCTTTTATACTTGGAGAACGTCCTTTCGACGTAATTGGCGCGAATTTAAATCATGCAAGATATTCTGGTTTCAAATAATGTAAATCATTATCAACAGTCATATCTAATGATAAAATTTTTTAAATTTTAAGTAAAGATAAAATTTTTGAAATTTTAAGTAACTTTTGAAACCCTTCATTTTTGTTGTTACAATATTACAATATTAATATTATTATAACAATATCAACAAGAATTTCAAGAGAACTTTTTTAACAAATGTTTGCACTCTTCTACTATTGAAATTGACTCTAACAAAAGCCCCTTAAAAAACTAAAATTAGCTTTGATATATGTCAACTGATTGATTAACTGAATCAGCTGAATCTGAAAAATGAGATACAATGTTTTTTATTTGATTTGATTTGATTCGTAATGGAACTTACAATTTTTTCTTAATGTACTTTCATGAGGTACATTTTTGTTGCAAAATGTTTCTAAAAACTGTTTAAATTTAGTGTTCTGTATTTGCACTTAAATGCGCTTCACATAAGTGTAAATTAAAACTGTCTTGATCAGTTGTTTTTGAAGATGCTGCTGAAATGCACTGTTGCAAGGAACTCTGGGTAATTTTATTCTTCTTAATTAATTACTGAGAATTTATCACCTTTCCACAAGCCTTGCACTTGTTCTTTTTCCAAAGATAGCTGGACCATTTTTAACCCATACAGACACCAAATGATATTTCACTTTCAGCATTTTCAATTCAATGATAGTTCACTCTCGGACGCTCGGACATCAAATAAAATGTTTAAAAAGCTTGGAAAAAAATCAATAATCAGTAGAGGTTGTTAAAATCACATTAGATAAAAGCGACAAACAGGAAAAGGGACGAGGGCTTAATCCTTAGCCGACGGGATTTGAAGGCTATAAATAGAAAGTCCACAATATTGCACTTACATTTTTAATCTTAACCCTCTGGAAAATCCTAAACTAATGAATGGGGTCAAAAATATGCAATTTTATGCACGAAAAATAGAAAATATTCACTTTTCGTACAACAAATGAAAATATGTACTAAATCTTTTTTTTATATCGTTAATCTAATTATTTAATTCTAAAATGGGTATATCCTAAATATTGGGTTCATATTCCTAATAATAAAAAAGATGTTTTTTACGTAAAATCCTAACTCTACTTATTACTATCATTTTGTGAGTTATTTCTTGTGCAGGGGTTTGCCGTATATTCTTACACCAATATTCAACAATATTATATATATTTCTGGTTACAATGGGTTTTCCATGAACGGTACGAAAGTGGCTTCTATTTCTAAATTTGTTGTAATCAACGTCAAAATGCATGCGATAAAAATTAAAATTATTATTATAATAGTTTATGCAATTTATTGATTATAAAACTTTTGTTTGTTGAATCAAAAACGAAATCTTACAGACGCTTGGCCAAAATCTCATTTGACATTAACTTATTCAAATAGTATGTAGAAATCTTTTAATTAAATAATAGTTAAACACGCAATATGCTTCCAAAATAACAAAGTTGCTGGATTGTTGTATATTTCCAGTCGTTCATGCAGAATTATGTTGGTCTAATTTATATTGATTTCATCATCTTGTTAAAAATTTTCCGTAATCTTTAAGTACATTTCAAAATGGTAAGTAAATTTTAAAGATAAAACGTGTAAGAAATAATATATGAATTTAGCAATCCGCGCATAACGGAACAACTTTGTTCACAGGCAACACTGTTGATTCAGACTAAAATCAATCTGATTACGAATTTGCGTGCTGTTTAATCTAGAATTATCCCACAACCACAAACTTTGGAGTCCGCCTTTAGTGCAGAATACAAGTCAAATGTTTGAACTGCCCGCTTAATATTAATTGTTAGCGAAACCACAATCCTGCTAACAGCGACTATTATTAGATGTAATGCAGTATCACGAATATCGTATATCCTCAGACTGCGAAAACTGAGTGATTCCCGGCAATTAGACGACAAATTCACTAGCAATTGCATCGTGAACTTGTATTTAGTATTTTAGCGATGCTAGCTTAAAAACCTTTTTTTTTTTGGCCGACCAGAAAGAAGAGTGTGATAGAGATCTCTCTTCATGATCCCATACGTGAAGGGACCCTTAGAAAAAATCAGTAGAATAGCAAAAGGATACAAGACTGTATTCAGTTAAGGGACGACATTAAAAACAACCTGTAATATCGACTCAAGAGAAATAGTGTATTTACCAAATACTATGTGAAGTCGTATATCGGAGAAACAAAAACGCTTTTAAACGTTAGAGTTGAAGAACGCAGGAAACACACAATGAGGGGTGAAATGCAATGGTCGGGAATCTCGGAACACGTATGGACCAAAGAGTACCACATAAAATGGTTCGAAGGCCCCGTTGTCCACATAGAAGCGCATTGGAGAAAGCGGAAATTTGGGGAAGCAGTATTAATTAAAAACAATGAAAACATCTTTAGCAAACCAAGTGTGGAAATACCTGCAGTTTGGCAACCTTTATTGGAGCGCACCTAGCGGAGGATCTTCACGCTTGATTCCACTCGATATCGTCACGGTTGAACGCTGCAGTCTCGTATCTAAGCTTCGTAGTTTGTAAACAAAAAATAAAGACAATGGGAGTTCAACAAGGTCTTAGTATTTCTAATGAATCATTCTCTACTACTACCAGTGTGCTGCAGATAGAGCTCGCTGCCATTACTGTTGCCGCAAAAGAAACCACCAGGAGCAAAGTTACTGCTAAAGCTGTATGAAACTTTACAGGACCAGAACCTTCTGCCAGTCATTAAGGAGCTAGGAAAAATTGAAAAAAAAAAACAAAGCTATTCTTTCGTATGCTTACTTAACAAACACCGATTCAGATTAGATGAGTTTGAGTAGCACTCCAAAACAAAAAGACGAGAGAGTAGATTAGACATTTTGTGCGAATGTCCCAATCATATCATATATACGGAAATCAGGGAGTTGACTTTTGGAGGTATCATCGCCTGTGTGGGGTCACTAT